CAAGTACAAAAAAATCATATTTTAGGGCTAATTAGGTTCAAAAATTTGGAATGCTCTAGGGCTTAATTCGGTCCTCTTCATGGCTATTTTGAGCATAATTAAATCACATTTAATCGATTCCAAAAGTTAAATCACATTTAATATAATAATTGACCCATAATTAAATTATTCTCCCTCCTAATTGAATTAAAATTGTGGACTATCAAAGAATTATAGTCAATATGCGTAAATGCAATAGGCTAACTGATACCACTGTAGGAGATTATAGGTACTACGCAACGGAAATACATGAATCATATTCATACAGTACCCAATCCCAAGATGTAATGCATAACTCATAAAGAACATATAATCGTACCTTTGAAGCGTGATTCCACGTGCGATCGAGCAAGAACAATGGGAGATAAAGAACCTCAAGCGTGATTCCTCTACTTGGTCCATAGGCATAGATTAAGTCTTCCACTAATGCTAGTTAGTTGCAATCGAACACTTTAAATGACCTTCTATGGAGTAGAACGAGCAACGAACAAATCACAAACCACCACGAAGGGAGGTGATAGGCGTGTGATACAGAGAGAGAGAGGTTTTGGATGACTGGTTGATTGGTGCATAATTAACTGTTAATTGTGTTGTATCATACAACCCTAGGCATGGACTTTATTTATAGATCTCATCTCTAAATAAGAGTCCATGACAAAGCCCAAATCCTAACTCTAATCTAACTATACTAGCCCAATCCAATTCATGATTGATTACTTGTTCATGAAGCCCATAAATGGGCCTCTAACTTGCTAAACCCAATACCTTTGTTGTGTGACCTCATAGGATCCATTCTAGTGGGCTTTGGACTATTTGACTAGCCCAAAGATCAATGATTATAGTTTAGCAACAGATAATGACGACCCAAAAGAACGAACTTATTATCTCCATAATAGTGATCCTTGATATATCTAGTAATTGCACTTATCGAAGACAAATCTCCTTCAAAGCCGCCTCCACCCAAGCATTCCGATCACTTGACCTTACGGAATATATTAGTTTTCTAATAATTCTGAACCTGCTATCAGAATAATAGACTTGTTCGAAGGACACCATTCCTTTCATTTACTGTCAAGAATTTGTACAGGTCTCTCTTCATAGGTCAAACTTTGGTCTAGCTCTATGGTTTCAGGTTGTAGCACTTGGGATTTATCAGGTATATACCTTCTTAATTGAGATACATGAAATACATTAGGTATATACTTTAGGCTTAGTTTCCCTTTCTTTCCAAATCTCATTACTCCTTTCATTGGTGACACCTTTAATAACACCTTATCACTAACATCAAACTCCTCTTCTCTACGCTTTAAATCTGCGTAGCTCTTTTGGCGATCTTGAGCTGCTTGAATCTTGGCTTGAATCTCCTTTAATTGCTTCATTGTATCCTCGATCATTTGAGGCCCTAGAATCATTGTTTCGCTTATATCGTTCCAACATATTAGACTACGACACTTTCTCCCATATAACGCCTCAAATGGAGCCATTCCTATGCTCGCATGATAACTATTATTGTAAGAAAATTCAATCAAATCCAAGCTATTCTCCCATCCTCCTTGCAAGTCTATAACACAAGCTCTTAACATGTCCTCCAAGGTTTGAATGGTTCTCTCAGTTTGCCCATCTGTGGCAGGGTGAAACGTTGTACTCATCTTAAGTGTCGTACCAAAGTTTTCCTGTACGCTTTTCCAAAATTTTGAAAGAAACTTGGAATCTCTATCAGACATAATATCCTTTGGAATGCAATGTAACCTCACAACGTTCTTGATGTAAGCTTTTGCAAGTTGCTCAATCTTCCAAGTCTTCTTCATTTGTATAAACACCGCAGATTTTGTCAGTCTGTCCACCACTACCCAAATGGTGTCATTTCCACCCTTTGATTTTGGAAGGCAAGTCACAAAATCTATTGAAATGCAATCCCAGTTCCATCCAGGAATTTTCAATGGTTGCACCGTTCCCTGTGGCCTCTTGTGCACTATTTTCACTTTTTGGCAAGTCAGACACTTTGCTACGAATTTCGCAACTTCATTCTTCATTCTAGGCCACCAATACACCCTTTTCAAGTCCTTATATAGATTATCCCCTCCTGGGTGTACTGAATAGGGCGTAATGTGCCCCTCTTCCATTAGCTTTCTCTTCACTTCCTCACACTTTTGAGGTACACACCATCGACCTTTATACCTCAAACTTCCATCTTTATGAATTTTGAAATGTGTAGCTTTTCCTTGCTTTATTTTCTCTCGAATCCTATCCAATTGCACATCTCCTGCTTGGTTTTCCCTTATCTCGTCGAATATGGTTGGTTGGATAGTCAGACTCACAAGAATTCCGCTGGTACTCCCCATTCTACCACTTCTAAGTTCATTTTCCTCATTTCCCTACATAACTCATCAGCCACTATCAAGGTATTTAATCCGTCACTGGTCTTACGACTTAGAGCATCTGCAACTACATTTTCTTTCCCTTCATGATATTGTATGTCAAGGTCATAATCTATCGAATATTCCAACCATCTCCTTTGTCGAGAGTTCAAATCCTTTTGAGTGAAAATGTACTTTAAGCTCTAATGGTCTGCATAAATTCTACATTTTACTCCATACAAGTAATGACGCCAGATCTTTAGTGCAAAGATAATCGCAGCAAGTTCTAAATCATAGGTTGGGTAATTCACTTCATGGTTCTTTAACTACCTTTATGCGTATGCAATTACCTTCCCATTTTGCATAAGCACACACACCAAACCATTCTTTGACGCATCGCTATACACATCATAAATACCACTGTCTTCTGGCATTGTAAGCACTGGTGTTGTAACCAGCTTCTGTTTCAAGAGTTGGAATGCTTCTTCACACTTATCATACCACTCAAACTTCTTGTATTTCTTCATTAGAGTAGTCATAGGTTTAGCAATCTTCGAGAAATCTTTCACGAAACTCCTATAATAACCTGCTATACCTAAGAAACTCCGAACGTCAGACACTTTTTGGGCGTAGGCCAACCCTTTACAGCTTTGATCTTCGCTGGGTCTACTTCCACGCCATCCTCAGACATAAAATTACCTAAGAATGCTACCTTTTCCAACCAAAATTCACACTTAGAGAACTTTGCGTAAAGATTGTTTTCTCTTAGCGTTTGAAGAATTGCTCTTAGGTGTTCCACATGCTCCTCCTTGTTCTTGGAATACACCAATATGTCATCTATGAACACCACAACGAACTTATCCATAAATTGATGAAACACCCTGTTCATCAAATCCATAAAGATTGTCGGAGCATTAGTCAATCCAAATGGCATCACTATAAACTCATAGTGTCCATCCTCGTCTTAAAAGCAGTTTTAGGAATGTCTTCGTTTGCAATCCTCAATTGGTGGTATCCAAACCTCAAGTCAATCTTAGAAAACACGGTTGCGCCTTTCAATTAATCGAATAAATCATCAATCCTAGGAAGTGGATACTTGTTCTTTATTGTCACCTTATTTAGTTCCTTGTAATCGATACATAACCTCATGCTTTTGTCTTTCTTTTTAACGAATAGAACTGGTGCTCCCCAAGGGGATGCACTCGGCCTGATGTACCCTTTGTCCAACAAATCATGCAATTGCTCCTTTAACTCACTCATCTCTGCCGGTGCCATCTGATATGGTGCCTTGGATATTGGTGCTGTCCCTAGGACTAAGTCTATGGTGAAATCGATTGCTCTCTTGGGTGGCATTCCACAGATTTCGTCTAGAAATACATCCAGAAATTCGTTCACTACTTCTATATTTTCTGGCTTAATTGCCTCCTCATAATCCATGTTCCTCACACTACAAAAGTATACTGGATGCTTCTTCTTCATGTACTTTGCCAACTTCAATACAGAAATCAACCTAGGGTATTTGACTTTGCCATGCATCCAATAAGTCACTGCCTCATTCCCACTTGTGGTCATTTTTACTTTCTGCGATCAACAAACTATTTCTGCATTGTATTTGCTCAACCAATACATTCCTAGGATGACATCAAAATCCGTTAACCCAAACTCGATCAGATCCGACTGAAACACTTTCCCTTCGACCTCTAAAGGTACGTTCCTAAAGGTTTTGGTACAGTTCACTACCCCACCCGTCAAAATGGTTATCGTTAAATCCACTACTTCTACTGTTTTCAAACAGTCTTTAAGTTTTGGAACATTTCTTTACGAAATGAAAGAAAAAGTTGCACCAGAATCAAATAAAACTTTAACAGGAATAGAGTGAATAGAAAAAGTGCCAGTGATGACATCTTTTGTGGAATCTGCCTCATGCCTACTCAACACATTCAATTTTCCTACATCTCCACTTTTCTGCTGATTGTTCCCATTGCTGCTGTTATTGTTATTCCTTGCTCCGTTCTGGTGCGCTCCCTTATTCCCATTAAAGATGTTGTTGTTTCCCTGAAAGTTCCTTTAGGTCACTCCTGAATTATTGTTTGGTTTATTCCCATTAGAACCTTTAGAGAAACACTCATACTCTCGATGCCCAAGCTTGTTACAAGCACGACAAGTAACCAAGTTGCCCTCACAATCTTTTCCAGGATGGTTATTCTTGCATATCCTGCAAAAATAACGCCCCTCATTACTGTTATTCCCCTGGTTATTGTTTCTATCCCCTCCATTGAAGTTATGTCCTCCTTGACGATTGTTACCTTGGGAATTGTTGCTGTTGTGGAAGTTGTTGCTATTATGATGGTACTTCTACTTTTTGAAGCTATTCTGGTTACCCTGTTGATTCCCGAGTTCTGTCCCATCTCTTTTCTCTTCTCTTTCACTTCCACATCAGTCATTTCTTTCTTTTTCTTCAACTCCAAAGCGTACAATTGCGCAGCTCTGCCATACACTTCATCCAAGGTTTCAAACACTTGACTACATAACTTCAGCTGCAAACTAGTAGTCAACCCACTCTCAAACTTCCTATCCTTTTCCTTCTCCGTAGAAACCGACTCTTCAGCAAAACGAGACAGCTCTATAAACTTTGAGGTTCGAGAATTCCTCATCATTTTGCTTCTGTAAGAAGCTAGGGTAAAACTTGTCTCTCATCTTTTCTTGGAACTTAGTCCAATTTAATCCAGGTAGCGCTGTAATAGTTGTTTCATTTTGCTGCCACCAAAGATCAGCTTCACCTCTCAAGTAATAAGTAGCACAACCCACCTTAGAATTTTCTGGGCACCCAACTGCCCTAAATAGTTTCTCAAACTCCCTTAACCAATTTTCCAATATGGTAGGGTCAGGCTCTCCTTGATTGGTTGGTGGTTTTCTTTGGGCCACCTTCTTAAAAAGTTCTCCTTGAGCATCCCCATTGGTGGCTGAATTCCTTGCCAACTGCTGGGCTACAACTGCTAATTGTCTCACAACTTCATTCAAATCGTTTCCACCATTACCAGAATTATTTCCCACTGCCATTTTGCTTCTCTTGAATCAAGGACAAGGGTCTATATTAGAAATGGCTATGGTTAGTTCTTAAGACATACACCCATCTATTACCTAGCACCCTTGAAATATTCACAGTAAAATTTGAAGCTAACAAATTGGGATAGTGAAAGCTAAGAATTTCCTAAATTTGTAGCTTTGTCAATCAATTATTGATTGCTAACCAACCATACATTTAATAAAGCATCACATAGATAAATAAAAAAATAATAATTCCCATAGATTCCCATAGCTTAGAAATAATTTATTGGGATTAATTTGCTTGGAATTTTAACTATTGGAATAGTGATATGAAATGTGAAATGGAAGATTTTGGAAAATAAATGAATTTATTTATTAATAATATAAAATTTTTTACAAAGAAATAAATGAGATCTTATTAATTAAAATAAACTGGAATTACTAAAATAAAATTGTTTTCTAGAAACTTATGTGGTCATGCCACTTATTAATTTAAAACTAAAATGATAATAACTGAAATAAAGACTGAGAATTCATGACGAGGAAAGTTATAAAATCTAATCATTTTGAACATTGTCCCTTTTGTAAGTGGATTGTTTGTAGCTTGAAAGATTGAAATCAGAATCATTTGACTCCTCCATTGGTTCAGGTGACTCAGGTTCGGGTTCTACTTGTACAAACTCCCCTTCTTCCTCCTCATCCAATGAAATGTCTATTATTATAAGAGTTAGGATTAGAAATCTCTTTAAGTGAACTATCTCCCTCTTGTTGTTCTCCATTTTCTGCCTGACTACCCCTGACAAAGAAGAAGAAGAAGAAGAATTTTCTGGTTGTTGATTAGGAGGAGGATTGTTCCCTACTAGATTATCGTATTAGTAGTCAGGGTAGGGAAGATTTAAGTGCTGACAATGAGCTTTTTCCACTCTTACGAGATATTTAGTCAAGAAAGCATAATCTGGATACCACTGGCCATAACAGTCTTTGTATTTATGATAATTTGGGATGTCTCCTGGAAGGTAAAAGTCATAAAATCTCTATTTGACAACAATGTAAGGAGGATCCTCTGAAAGACAATGGAGAATCATAGCCGAAATACGATTAGGGGTGTCATAAGCTCTGTCTCGTTAGACATTTCTCATGTAGGAACAAAAGTATTTGATCTTTTCTACAAAGTCGTAGGGGTGTTCATTATGTTTCTTAACAAGTGATCCCATTTGAGTAAATTTCCTAGGAAAGATTGGCATCCTATAGAGGAAAAGGCTTAGAAAAGAATTCCCTTCCTAAAGAAAATATAATAAATAATACAGTCTTTGCAGGAAATTAAGTTCGGTGTTCAATCATACAATCTTGAAAGATCACATATAATAATACACATATTGCATGCTTTCATTAACAAACATCTAATCATACAACATGCTTGAACACCACAAAATAAAATTATGCACATAGGAGAGAAATCAAATTCTAGCCTATATGCCCTTTTCTGTTTCTACCCAAGCTCACCAACATGTTAATAAAAGCTTTTAACACATAATTCTTTCCTCAATCCTTCCTCCCTGCAAAAATTAACAAACTAAAATATTTTTACCCTGCTAAAAAAAGTTTCGAAATTAAAGAAAAAAAAGGGGCCAATAATTCGGCCCTATTAAAAAAAATTTCGGACCAAAATAAAATAATAAAATAAAAAAACAATTCGGTCCTACTAAAAAAAATAAAATAAAACCGGAACAAAATTAACACTGCATAATTAAATTAGCACTTGGCCAAGTTTAAAACATAGTAAAAAAAAATGTTTTCGGGTTAGTGGTAATCTAAAATCTCAACCTGGCTCTGACACCACTTTGTAACACCCTATATATTCCTTTCTTTTGAAATACCCGTTTTGCCCTGCATAAAACTTTAAATAGGAATATCTAAGACATTACCGCCACCGTGATAACGACTAAGACAATTATCAAAGACACACAGCGGAAGACTAATTTCAAAACCTTTCAAAACAAGTCAACTTGAAAAGTCAATCAACGAAAGTAAAGTAAATTCAACGTACAACTTGGAACCATTATAGGCCCTTATTAAAACCAAACCAAACTCAAAACCCTTTTTGTTAGTCACGCATAGTAATATTATCATAAATAGTTAAAGCGATAAACACATCATATACTTATGGAAACTAGCATAATACGCTCTTCACTCATGCCCATTCATGAATATGCTTCAACACCTGAAAAGCTTATCTCTACCTATTTCCACTACTCTCCATTAAAAATTGGTCATCATAGGGCCAAGATAAAGACAAGGCCAACAAACACACAAAATACTCAATCAGCAAAGCTGAGTACATAAGCGCAATTAACACACTAGCATACAATTCTCTATCAACACACTACTTACCTTGTTGCACCTGTTTTTAGAGCACACCACATTCAATAAAAATTCTCACTAGACACTAAATAGTTTATTTAGCGTTGATTACGCATCGAACGAGTTTCCCACTAACCTCCCCCAATAAATTGAGGTTATCGACACGGGAGCTAACCGTGCTACCATCAAAAACCACACATAGGTGGCGGAATTCCTGCACATAATAATAAAAAAAGGAATGTACAACGTCCTGTACTCCATTAGAAGTTATGGTTAAATATAAAACCCCATAACTCCCCCCATATGTTCATACTCGAGGTATATACGTTCCAAGAGTTTTGGTACGTAATCTCTTTCACTTTACGTTATTTACAGATTATTAAACTCAGTGATGACCCTCAAACCATAATCATTCAATTAACAATAATTATTCAAACAATCAAACACACCAATTTAATTCTTCAATAATTAGTGACCACATAATATTTAATGTTGCATCCTTTTTAATTTTACCTCGGTACCAATGACACCTTAAACGCATAAAGCGCCACAAATCATATCCCTCGGTGTTAAAAACACCTTAAGTGCACTAAGGCACCACCATAAAATTTATTCCTCGTGTACATAAACACATATTTAGCTCTTTCCTTATGCTTATAGAATCAATAAAAATTATTTAAACCATAATAAAATTTCTTTTCAATATTCCAAACCAAATTAAACATTTAGTTTAATTAAACATGCTCTCTAACATGACATAAATAAATATGTGGCTCATAAATAATACTCCAAGCTATTATTTTCCGTTCAATAATCCATCACAGTTAAATCATGCTTCATAATCCAATCACCAATAACATCCGAATCATAATTTCCAAACCAAACCTAGCATGATACTACTTGTAATCAATCAAACACATTTAGCATGCTATTACATCAACATAATTATTCTAAGTACGCGAACGTACCTTGAATACGATCTTAATATCGCCACAATTAATAGAAGTCACTCACTTTAAAGTCTCCTACAATTTAAAATCATAAAAGAATATTAAAATCCACTCTTCACAAATTTTCAGCAATATATACTATTATAAAACCCCTCATAATTTATATAAAATAAGATGAAATTATATTTAAAACATCATAATTCAATCCCAATTAATGGGTAATTAAAATTCCTTAAAGAAACTTGATTTTTAATGCTTTACCAAAAATTCCAACACTATATTTTAATTAAATCTTGCTGTAATTTAGTCTTAAAACACTTTAATCAAAGGTTTACACTATTATATATCATAATCCTTCAATAATTTATAAATCAAGAACCTAGGATTTCAAAAATTGGGGCTTTTTAATTAAAAACATAATCTGAAAATTAATTAACATAATACTTATAATCAAATATCAAAAATCAAATCACAACACCCATAATTAATATTTAGATCTAGGATTAAATTGATTTTTAAAACAAAGATTAAATTTTTTTTAATATTCAAAAAAGAGGGAGGAAGGGCAGCGGCAGCCACCACGCCGGCTGCCGGCGATTGACGCTGCTGCCGGTGGCTGGCGGTGGTGGGAAGCCGAAAAAAAGAAGGGGAAGGGATAGAAGGAGAAAGAAAAAAAAGAAAGAAAATAAGGAAAATAGAGAGAGAAATTTACCTTGGGTTTTCTCCACTCTGGGAAAAGTTTGATTTGCCTCATATGTGGGATATTTATACTCCTTCTCTTAAACCCTTCTCCCTACACTTTCCCTTTTTAATTTTCTTAATCCCACCCCTAATAAAACTTCACTAAAATAAAATTTCCTAAATTAAACCCCAACTTAATTAAAATAATTAATTAAATAAACTTTCATTTTATAAAATATTTCCAACTTATTAAAATAAATAACTAAAATACTTTAAACAAGACATTTCAATTCAATAAAATACTTCTCAAAATACTTATTTTAAATAAAATACGTATAAAAATACGAGGTATTACAATCCTTATGGTCCCCCATCCGGGTTTTCCTATGATGGGGATGGCCAAGATGGCTCCGGGCCAAGTGGTAGTGGTAGCTAGTTCCCTCATTTTTGTGATGTTTGCCTCCATCCCCTATCTTATGTGTGCTTGCTTTGTATTGATGGGATGTTGAGATGTATCTATGATTAGCTTGGGGTCACTTTACTTTTCTTAGGGGTTTGTCTCGGTGGCCAATTTGTTGTTGAGCTTACCTTGTTTTCCTTTGCCTCTTTGTATGATGGTCTCTTTCTTGATCTCTCTTTGATGGTGTTTGTTTTTAATTCCTATTTCTCTCATTCTTGATCTGGTTGTTGTGATGATTTTTCCTTGATGATGATGCATGTGTTGCTCCCTCAAAAACAACCCCCTAATATCCAAATTCCATGAATCCAAACCGTTGAATCCAAATTTTGTAGTTTAGTGCTTTGTTGATTAGTTAGGTGTTTATTTGATTATTTAATTTTTATTTTCTTCTCTTTTCTTATTGATAGTTTAGTTTAGTTTTTATTCGTAGTTTTTTTTTTTTTTTTTTTTTTTGAAGTTACTAACTGTTTTCTTTTGTATATAGTTTCTTTTTCTACTTTTCTTTCACATGGCTTTGATAATGATGCTATTGTCTTTGGAGCTCAACGAGGATGATTGAT